AATCGCCATCTTCTGTCGTCTTAAATCCCATTTATCTTTTGTCCTTTCGTTAATCTTCCCTATAATCAGCCTTTTCTCTCACTTTCACTCCTTATAATCCCCTGCGTACTAGTGGAATTCATGCGTTTATTGGGAAAAAACCATTACACACACACACACAAATATATATATATATATATATATATATATATATATATATATATATATATATATATATATGTGTGTGTGTGTGTGTGTTTGGAACGTTAAAATCCAGCTCATGATACTCGGCCCTGATTCTCATCATAGTCGTTTTGTCAGGGGGTGACTTCTTCGATGTTGGAAAACGATCCCAGTATGCAGCACCATGAGGAAATGGTAACAAGCCATATCAGAAGTTGACCTAAGACTTGTGAGTAAAACTGGGTAGAGGAAATTGTCTGGAAGTCTTCGATGGTTGTACTGACAGACTTGCAAATCAGATTATATGCTCACTCCAAGTAACTAAGCCGAGCTCCGTACTGTTGCAGTTTAAACCACATGATGGCTCTGTGGGTGTTGAACAAACACAAATATTACGAGCGACCTGCCAGACATCTCTTATTACTATAAACATTATATTTAGTGAATAAACATCAGCATCCTCTATCAAGTGTCCCAAGAAATATGACTCAAGATAAACTTTTCCAAAATAGAAACTATGATAGGAAATTGGAATGAAAGCAGTGATGGCACGTACCCTGAATACATAAGATTTCGGGATGTGAAATTATAAAAACGGTTCAGTTTTAACAGATTTAGTATAGAAGATAAGGAAAGTGAACATAAAAGGCTGTGTTTGTGTTAGTTTCACACAGTACCACATTTTTTTATTATTTTACCCTAAAGCAAGGCAACAAAGTCACTAAGATGAAAAACCAAAATACTGACCTAAAAACTCGAATCATGATCGTAAATACCCTCGTCAGATCAAGACTTTCATATGGATGTCATGCATCGTGACAAAATCATCCAGAAATATCTAAACTGTCAGCTTTATACAACCGCTTGCTTCATTCGAGCGAATGAAGACTTTAGTTTTTACAGTTGACCATTTTTCTTTGAATCTCGTGGACTGGCGCTACAGAATCACAAATAAAAAAAATGACCTAATAACAGAAACCACACCGCTTAAGGACTTTCAACATTAGCAACAACTAAACAGGTTAGCACATGTAACACGAAGAGAAAACAATGACATAACCAAGAAGTCTACACTAATCCAAACAAAACGTTAGAAAGGAAACCCCCATAATTAATGGAAGGAACAATTTGAGTTACTGGACTTGAGAAACCTATTTTCCTGAAAAATTACTTTTAATATAAAGATTTTATATATTTGAACTAATGTGTTAAATAGTTTCAGCAACAAAGCTTAATAGGAATTATTAGTAGAAGTACATTGAAACACCATAGCATGAATGATGTGTCTTATGCAAGATAACCAGAGTCCAACCCTCTTCAGGCTGGTCTGAATTTAGGTTTCTTTCTCCTAAATTGGTATCCAAGCAAGACTAAATATATCAATAGCCTCATAGATGGATGGATTTCCAAGGGTATTTGCGTGCAAATAAATGTAACGAATTCGACTGGAATTCGAACTCGCCTCTCTGATTTCTTCTTCTGAACCACTATCCACTACGCCACCGTGCATCCGCGTAAACGACATAGGTAAATGAATTTAATGTTTTCCTTAGAGAGTTCCCAATATATTAGCATTTGTCCTAATGACTAGTAATAGCCTAAAGTAGTTTAAGAAATGGACTTTTAGCCATTTTGTTCTTTTCTTTTATAAATGCGATCTAAATGTGCGACAATTTATACGCAAACTGTAAAAATATGAGAAACAATATTAAACTGAGTTTGCCAGTTGATTTAAAAACACCTTTCAATATATATATATATATATATATATATATATATATATATGCATGTTTAATTAAAAACGACAGACAAGGTACTACGGTTAAGCTATTTATTTATTTATTTTTGCGTTTGCACGTAACTATAGAACATTTGGACAGTTTCTACACATTCTGTGTCCCAAAAAGAAAGCTCTTGTGCGAACACAAGAAAAATTAAATACAAAGCTTAACCTTGTCTGTCGTTTTTAATGAAACATGCATAAATGAAGGATTGCTGTATAAATATACAATACACAATATATTTAAATAACCCCTTTGAATATATATATATATATATATATATATATATATATATATATATATCTTACATTGATTTCACAACTCGCAGTTTCATACGTTCTGTATTCGTCAGGTACAATTTTTTTGGTTAATACTGCTTCTATATTTCTTTTTACCGCGAGATATTTTATTGTAGGGGTAGATTATTATTGTTGTTAAAATATTTAAATGAATTGTTTAATTTTGGATTTTAATTTAGGCCCAGATTAGCATTCAAGATTAAAAATTAGGTTGGAAATAAGAATTATAAATTCTAATTTGAAAAGACGCTGTTATGAAAAGGAATTAATAAGAAAATAACGTTTGAACATCAAGGGGGGTAACTCTATATTTTCCAAGAAAATCAATAAAATAATTAATAATATTATTAATATTAATAAACTAAATAAGAGTTGTGACATCAATAATAATGAAATACGCCGTGATAAAATAAAATAAAAATTAAAGTACTAATAAAAATAATACATATCAATGAAAATAAAATAATATAAAATAATATAAAATAAAATAGAAACATATAAATATGTAAATAAATAGATTAAATAAATCACGCAAATAAATAAATAAAAATAATAAATGCAAGTAAAAATAAATAAGTAAATAAACACGTTACTAATAGTATGAAAAAATAGACAAAACAATAATAATTATAAAATTAAAGAGATAAGATAAAGAAAATAATGGATTAGTAAAAAAGTTAAATGCGTTACAGTCTAATATTAAGAATAGTTGTATAGTAAATGTAGAAAAAAGTAAAAATATTAATAAAAATAAACATTATCAATACTAGTATATGCGGTCACCGGGTTCGCCTAGATATATTAATCTGGGTTAACGTGGGTGAATAAAAATTTGGATCTATGTAGGCAGGTGCTCATTAACTCACTTCTATTATTTAAGAGATTAGGATTTTTTATATTTTTCAGGATTATTAATTTCTCAGAAAGACATAGGTTACATATGTTGCCTTTCCTCCTGGATAACTGGGTTTTTATTCTTGCTTTTTATTTTCCAGGAAAATTTAGAGAGAGGGCTGTGCTGTTACTATATTTGATATTGCCTAAGGTCATTTGGTGGTGATAGAAGCGCGATTTCCAATGGTTTTCCGCAGAGCCCACATAAAACTTGATCTCGTTGTCATATTTGCTTTCAGCATTGTAAACTAACGAATCCAAGTTTTATGTGGGCTCTACGGAAAACCACTGAAAATCGTGCTTCTACCACTGAGGGAGACGCAATTTCGTTCGGGATTTCGCGAATGAGCAGGCTGATAGGCATAATACACACTGATTAATAAATAAAAATGGGACGTCTATTTCAAATACGAAGTATCTACTATAATAACTTTTGAAGTAGTAAAAAAAATGTCGGATTAAGAATAAATCCATTAATTTCTTAAAAATCGCGTTGTACCCGTTTCGGATGAAAAACTGAGCAAATATGAAAAAAATAAATCGGGTGAAGAGGATGTGCTTTCCTTAAAAATGGAAAATAGAATGTTCCTTGCTGTGGCGTTCTTCGTCGCTGAGCGGTAAAGCGCGCCAGATCAAAAGGTGGTCCCCACTACCCGGGGGTTGGCGCAGGGCATCTCACTGCCATGGAACGCATTTTCTATACTAGGGTTTCTTGAATGCGCAGATAGATGTAATACATACTGTTTAATAAACAAAAATGCGACAGCTATTTCAAGTACGAAATATCCACTATAATAACGATTGAAGTAATAAAAAAAATGTCGGATTAAAAATAAAACCATGAATTGTTTTCTTTATATATATATATATATATATATATATATATATATATATATATATATATATGTGTGTGTGTGTGTGTGTCAGAAAAACAAACAATGACTGAGTGTTTAGGCTAAGCAGATGTTTCTTTCTTGACATGAAAAAGAAATTTGAGCGTGACTATATTTTTTGAAGATTAAAAAAAATAAAATTCAATAAAAATAAAGCTCTTGCGAGTTAAAAGCAGAGTGTGGGTGCTGTAAAAATAATATTTTCTTCAGCTCTAATCAATTTGAGCCAAGGAAGACAAAACATGAGCGAGCCATATATATATATAGAAAGGAGAGAGAGAGAGAGAGAGAGAGAGAGAGAGAGAGAGAGAGAGAGATGGTGAAAGATAGAGGAGGGAGGAGAGAGATAAAGAAAGAGGAAAGGGTAAGAAGAAATATGATTCTTCCTTTTACCACTCTGACCAAAGAAAGAACAGCAAAAAAAAAACAAAACAAAAAACAAAAAACAAAAAAAGAAACAAAACAAAAAATAAAAAAAACCCAAAGAAATAAAGAAAGGAGTAGAAAGAAACGAATCTGAGACTAAAACAGTATAAAACAGTAAAAATAAATAACTTAGAGATTTTGGGAGAATGAAACATTTGTAGATTAAATAATGAAAGAAAAAAAGGATAAAAGAAAAAGAAAGAAAAAAGATGGAGGAGTGAAGAATTGAATTATTTGACGATCATGAATGACAAAAGAAAACAGAAGAAAAATGGAGAAAAGCGAAAAAACTTCGACAAAAATAAATAAATAAATGTTGACAAGGAAAAGAAAAAGAAAAATATTGCGTCAAAAGAAGAGGAAAACAATATCGTGAAAAGATGAAGAGAAAAATATAGAAAAATCAATTAATAAATATCTGAAAAGAGACTAGAAGTGAGAAAGCCCAAAACGGAAGACCAACAAAGTAAGGAGTGGAGAGGAGGAAATTTTAAGAAGAAAAAAGGAGCTAAAAGGAAAATAGGTAATTAATGGGAGTAAGTATA